AATGTTCATTATGCAGGTACCCCAGTACCTCTGTCGATGAGGTGTGCCCCTCCCTCCCCTGGCAGTTTCCTTCAACTGCCCATCCCACCCCCACCCCCTGCCGGCAGTTTCCCACTATTGCCAATCCCTTTCTTATAGTATTATGATAATTGTTCAAGGTCCACTTATGAGTGAGAACATATGGTACTCTGTTCTTTGTTTTTGTGATAGATTGCTGAGTATGGTAGACTCTGAATCCATCCAAGTTGCTGTGAAGTCCATATGTTTGTTCTTCTTTATGGCTGCATAATATTCCATTGTGTATATATACCACATTTTTAAAAATCTAGTCTAGCTTCAATGGGCAGCATTGTTATTTTCATGTTTTTGCTATTGTGAATAGAGCTGCAACAAACATGTGTGTACAGGTATCTTTTTGGTAGAATGACTTGAGTTCCTCCGGGTATATTCCCAATAGGGGGATTGCTGGGTCATATGGAAGGTCAATTTCTAGTTCTTTCAGAGATTGCCACGCTGTCTTCCAAAGAGGTTGCACTAGTTTGCATTCTCACCACCAGTGTAGAAGTGTTCCCTTTTCTCTGCATCCTCACCAGCATCTGTTGTTTGTTTTATTAATGATGGCCATTCTTACTGAGCTTAGGCGGTATCTCAATGTGGTTTTGATTTGCATTTCTCTGATGATGAGTGAGGCTGAGCACTTTTTCATGTGTCTGTTGGCTGTCTGTATATCTTCTTTTGAGAAGTGTCTATTCCTGTCTTTTGCCCACTTTTTAATGGGGCTGTTTGTTTTTTTCCTTTCGGCACGTTTGAGTTCCTTGTAGATCCTAGATGTTAGGCCTTTTTCAGATATACAGTTGGCAAATATTTTTTCCCATTCTGTGGGCTATCTCCCTGCTCTCTGGATGGTTTTTTTGCTTTGCAGAAGCTTGTCAGTTTGATGCGGTCCCACTTTTCTATCTTGTTTCTTATGGTATGGGCACTTAGAGTTCTGATCAGGAAATGGTTGCCAGTTTCAATTTCCATAAGGGTGTCTCCTGCATTTTCTAAGATTCTTATATTTTGAAGTTTTACGTTTCGGTCTTTGATTCATTTAGAGTTGATTTTTATATATGGTGATAGATAGAGATCCTGTTTCAATCTTCTGCATGCGATCAGCCAGTTTTCCCAGCACCATTTGCTGAATAGGTTCTCCTCTCCCCAGTGGTTGTTGTTGGAGGCTTTGTCAAAGATGAGTTGGTTGAGAAATTGAGATTTTGCTTTGGGAATCTCTATCCTGATCCATTGGTCTATATGCCTGTTCTTGTACCAATTCCAGGCTGTTTCGGTTGTTGTAGCCTTATAGTAAAGTTTAAGGTCTGGAAGTGTGATACCTCCCACTTTACTTTTTTTTACTAAGGATTGTTTTGACTATTTGTGGTTGTTTATGTTTCCATATGAATTTCTGTATTGTCATTTCCAGGTCTGAGAAGAATGATGTTGTTAATTTAATGGATATTATGTTGAATCTGTAGATTACCTTTGGTAGGATGGACATCTTAACAATGTTGATTTTTCCTATCCATGAGCATAGAATATTTTTCCATTTGTTTGTGTCTTCTTGAATTTCTTTGAGGAGTGTTTTGTAGTTCTCCTTGTAAAGGTCTTTCACTTCTCTGGTTAGGAAGATGCTGAGGTATCGCATTTTGTGTGTGTGGCTATTGTGAATGGGATTGTGCTTTTTATTTGGGTTTCTGTTTATTGTTGGTGTATAGAAATGTGACTGACTTTTGCACATTTATTTTGTACCCTGAGACTTTGCCAAAGTCCTTTATCAGTGCAAGCAGGTTTTTGACAGATTCTCTTGCATCTTTGAAGTATAGGATCATATTGTCAGCAAAGAGGGATAACTTGACTTTCACTTTTCCTATTTGGACACCCCTGATCTCCTTCTCTTGTCTAATTGCAGTAGCTAGAACTTCCAACACAATGTTGAACAAGAGGGATGAGAATGGGCAGCCTTGTCTTGTTCCAGTTTTCAGGGGAAATGTTTCCAGTTTCCGTTCATTTAGCAATATGCTAGCTGTGGGTTTATTGTAGATGGCACTTACTATTTTGAGGTATGTTCTTTCTATGCCTAGGTGTTTGAGGGTTTTTATCAAGAAGGGATACTGGATTTTATCAAAAGCTTTTTCTGCATCTAATGAGATAATTGTGTGGTTCTCGTTTTTACATCTGTTGATGTGTTTAATGACATTTATGGTCTTGCGAATGTTAAACCAGCCCTGAATCCTGGGGGTGAAGCCTACTTGGTCATGGTGGATGATTTTTGAGATGTATTTTTGAATCCGATTTGCTAGAATCTTGTTGAGGATTTTTGCATCTATGTTCATAAGGGATATTGGCCTGTAGTTCTCTTTTTTTGTTGGATCTTTACCCGGATTAGATATCAGTGTGACGTTAGCTTTGTAAAATGATTTGGGGAGAATTCCATCTTTCTCGATTGCCTGGAATACTTTCAATAGGATTGGTATCAGCTCCTCCTTGTACGTTTTGTAGAATTCTGCTGGAAAGCCGTCTGGTCCCTGCCCTCTTGTGGCAGGTTCTGTAATTGTTCCTCTCATTTGCTTCTCTGCAGAGCTTCCTCCTCTTTCACTCTCTCCCCAGTGTCTTGAGCAGGGAAGAGGGAGGGGCAGTGGCGGTGGGCGATGCTGCAGTCCTCCCCTCCCACTCTCATATGGTCTGAGGGATCCCCTCCAGTGGGGAGGTGTGGGATTGTGTCTTCCCCAGGTATGTACTCTCGGAGGGTGCCCCACACAGGCCTGTCTTGGAATTGGGTTCTCCTATTGCAACTGATATCTAGGCTTCACCTGGGTTTGGCCCTCTCAGTCCTGCCCCAGCTGTGCGGGTCTGATGTTCAGAGGATTGCTGGAGAGGAGGGGGGTTGGGTCTGCCCTGGACTCCCCACTGATCTCTTTGGAGGTCCTCCTCATCCTTTTCTGGCCACACCCTTTGTCCTGAGGCTGAATCAAGGTTGGGGGTGGGGTGCCTGAGACTCAGCACTTGTCCAGTCCCTCCAGAGTTTGTGCTTTCAGGATAGTCCCTCTGAGTCACAATCAACTCCTGAATAGTTGATCCGCTGGTCACAGAGATCAGGTCTGTTGATCTGTGGTAAGCAAGTCTGAGCACTTTCCTTCCCTGTTTTCAAGATGGTGGCGGTGTGCCTCTTTCATCTTCTGTGGTGGGACTCTGCCTCTGGGCTCCCTCCTCTGGCTTTGTTGCCAGTATCCGGCCAGGTGCTAAAGAGGTGAGGCAAAGCCTGGAGCCAGCAGTCTCTCCTGCTGCAGTGGTGAGGCAGAGCCTGGAGCCAGTAGTTTCTCCCCACTGCTTATTTGTGGGAAAACTTTTGTCAGTTTAAAAAAAATGGCTCTTGGCTTCTGTGACCTGGAAAGTGCTACGGAACAAGCAGAGCAGCTGCCGCACCTGCTGCTTCACCAGGAGGGCCCTGGCCACTTGCTTACAAGCCCCCACTTAGTGAGTCTCTCCCTGCATCTTCTTCCCAGGAAAGGTTTTATCAACAAAAAAAATGGCACTTGGCTTCTGCATCCAGGAATTGCTGGGGTCCAAGCCAAGCAGTTGCAGCACCAGCCACTGCACCAGGAGAGCCCTGGATGCTTGCTCCTGAGCTCTCACTCAGTCAGCCATTCATACGGCCACTCACTGACACATACACAAAATTTTCCATGTACTCACTAACTCACACTGGGACTTGCATAGTCTGACTGGCTTGGCAGCCATCTTCCCGACACTCCAGCTTTTATTTTAAGGAGTGTTCCTTGTATGCCTACTTTTCTGATGGTTTTTATCATGAAGGGATGCAGGATTTTGTCAAATGCTTTTTCTGTGTGTATTTAAATGATCATATGAATTTTGTTTATGTGGTGGATACATTTATTGACTTGTATATGTTGAACCATTCTTGCATCTGAGATAAAACCCACTTGATCATGGTTGGTTTTTAAAATGTGCTGTTGAATTCAGTTTGCTAGTATTTTGTTGAGAATTTTTGCATCTGTGTTTATCAGGAATATTGGTCTGTACTTTTATTTTTTTGTTGTTTCTTTTCCTGGTTTTGGTGTTAGGGTGATACTGTCTTCATAGAATGAGTTAGGGAGAATTTTCTCCTTTTCATTCTTATAGAATAGCTTCAGTAAAATTGGTACCAATTGTTCTTTGAAAGTCCAGTAGAATTTGGCTATGAGTCTGTTGGGTTCTAATGACTGTTTCAATCTCAGTACTTATTATTTGTCTATTTAGGGTTTCTGTTTATTCCTGATTCAAGGTTGGAGGGGTGTATGTTTCTAATCTCAGATAATCTTTTTAATTCCATGGTGTAAGTTATAATGTCTCCATTTTCATTTCTGATTGAGATAATTTGAATCTTCTCTCTTTGTTGCTTAATTAATTTAGCTAGTGGTCTGTCAATTTTGTTTCTCTTTTCAAAGAACCAACTTGTTTCATTAATTCTTTGTATTTTTGTTTGTTTCAATTTCATTAAGATCTGCTCTGATCTTCATTGTTTCTTTTCTTCTACTAGTTTTGGGTTTGGTTTGTTAATGTTTCTCTAGTTCATTTAGATGTGACATTAGTTGTCAGTATGTGATCTTTCAATCTATCTAATGTAGGCCTTAAGCGCTATACATTTTCCTCTGAGCACAGCTTTGCCTGTCCCAGAGGTTTTGATAACTTGTGTTATTTTTATTTGAATTCTCTTTAGTTCCACTAGACTATTTGTCTATCCTTGGGATAATATCACATCATCTTAAATATTCTATTACTTAATGGAATCTTTTTTTTAGCATGATTTGTGATTCTCCCACAGAGTAGGTCACTAACTTAATAGAAAGTAGACATCCAGTATTCAGTCATCATGATAAACTGGGAAACCAATCAGAAGTTCCACTGTATTCTATCCTTATCACCAGTGGTCAGCATTTTAAAATGATGGGAATATACCATTACAGGAACTACTAACATTTGAGGATGTGGCTGTGGATTTCACCCATGAGGAGTGGCAGTACTTGAACCCTCCACAGAGGACTCTGTACAGAGATGTGATGCTGGAGACCTACAGCAATCTGGTCTTTGTGGGTAAGAATGCCTTCATTGGGTAATTTTGCTGTTTATGATTATAGGATCCAATAGAGAGCCTTTTCTTTCTCAGTTTCCCCCCTTTTGCTTCCTGACAGGGTGTTTGTGAATTCAAAATCCAGGTTAAATGGTTTGACTTTACCTTTGTATCAAGCAATGTGTTCCTTGTGTTGCCCCCAAACTGCAACTTCCTCTATCTCAGAGACTCTGAAGACCAAGGAGTATTCATTTTTCTTTAACAGGGAAGCAGGTTACTAAACCAGACCTCATCCTCAAGTTGGAGGTGGAAGAATGCCCAGCAGAAGTAAAAATCCCAGTTTGGAGTTTTCCAGGTATGTAGGATTGACACAGGTTCTGGGGTTATGAGATTCTAGCCTAGGTTTTGATAACTTGTGTTTTTGTCATTTGAATTCTCTTTAGTTCCACTAGACTATTTCTCTATCCTTGCGATAATATTACATCACCTTAATGATGTGGCCCTTTGAAAGGGCTTTCAAGAATATCTTAGGAAAGGTTGTGGCCCTTGGTGCTTTTACCATGGTTTGTAGTGTTGGAGGACAGGGACATGAACACCTCGGCCATGAGGCTGACACCCCCACCCTGGTCCCCCATACACCAGACAACTCTCCTTAAGTTGGTACCCACCTGAAAGTTTCTTTACAGTTCCTTTTATCCCATATGTGTCTTTTAAATGCCACCCTCTGTCCCTGCTACTTCCATGGTTCTCACATGTCACTGACGTATCTGAAGCCAGGCCTAGACTGTAGTTCTCTAATTCCAGATTGGATAACCTGAATCCATTCTTCTTGTTCAGCTTAAATGTTCCTGTAAGATTTGCTTTCCTAAAACACCTTGATTACCTATTTTTAAAAAATAGCTTTTTTGAGATATAATTTACATATCATAAAACTCACTATTTTAAAGTGTACAATTCAGTGGTTTTCAATATATTCAGAGTAATGCAACCATCACCACTATCTAATTCACTATCAAAATAGAATATTTTAATCACTCCCCAAAAGATGTCCCTACCCTTTAGCAGTCACTCTCCATTTTCTTCTGTCCTCATTTCCTGGCAACCACTAATCTACTTTTTGTCTCTGGTTTTGCCTATTCTGGACATTTCATATAAATGGAGTCATACAAAATATGGCCTTTTATATCTGATTTCTTTCAATTGGCATGTTCTCAAGGTTCATCCACGTTGTAGCATGTATCAGTGCTTTTCCTTTTTATGGAGGAACAATATTCCATTTTATGAATAGACCACATTTCGTTTATCCATTCTTCAGTTGATGGGTGTTTTGGTTGTTTCCACTTTTTGGCTTTACAAATAATGCTGCTATGAATATTCATGTACAGGTTTTTATTGTGATGCATATTTTCATTTCCTTTGGGTAGATGAATAGGATTGGAATTGTTGTACCTTGTGATAGTTGTATATTTAACATTTTGAGGAACTGCCAAATGAATATCTTGTTCCTCAAACAGTTACCTAGTGGCTTTTATATGCTCTGATAATTCTTGCCTGAGTCACTTATTGGTAAGATGGTTTGATCTTTATTTTTTCAATGTGTTATCATCCATTACTGTTATTATTCATTTTCATGTTCAAATTGTCCTCAGTTTGGCTAGTAGGAGTACCTTCAGGCTGGCTCCTCTGTCCTTTCGACATGTCCCTATCATTCTTTGAGCACTTCCTCACTTTCTGGCACAAACATACATTCCAAGTTTACCTTGTACTTTCCCTGTTTCAGACCTGGAATCAGCAACTTTGCCAAGGATCTCTGATTACTATTAGTGGGAGTGGTATTTAGAAATAAGGATCTGGATGCCAGAAGTGCTAATAGCTACTCGGATTCTTGTCTCGTATAATCTATAGATGATTCTCTTCCATCTCTCTTTTCCCCCTACTATTTCTTCTTAAAGTGATGAAGTCATTTGTCCTTTAGTTTTCCACAGTCTAGATTTTACTGTTAATAGCTCATGGTAGTATTTAACATAGTCTTCTGTCCTCTATATTTCTTGTAAGTTTATAGATCTAGAAGCTGGATCAGATTCAGTTTTTTTTTTTCTTTTAGCGAGATCATTTCCTAGCTACTTCCACTGGGAGGCATGTAATACATAGTTGTCACTGTGTGTTCTATGCTACTAGTCATTGGTGATTACTGCTTAGATCCATTAATTCATCTATGGTTGCAAAATGGTGATATTCTAATTCTTTTGTTCCTTTTTTGCTGACTAGCTGGAATGATTCTATAAAGAGATATGCATATTATACAGAAAAGACAGGCTAAATGATTGAGTTTTTCCATTTATTTACCAGTTTTCAAAACAATGAGTTGATTTTGTATCATCCAAAGGTGACCAATAAGGTATGTCTTTTTTTGTGTATAATTTATGGACATATGGATTTAAACATTGTTATGTTTTAATCCATTGCCTTATTATCCCTAGTACAAGTCAAACTGTCCCATCTTTGACTAGTGAAAATGCCTTCAAGTTGGCTCCTGAGTCTTTGGTAGCTTCCTTGCTTTCTGGCATTGGAACATGTTACAGGCTTATTTTGTGTATTTCATGTTTCTGACTTGGAATCGGCCATTACTCCAAGGAACTCTGGTTCTTTTTAGTGGAAAAGAGCTTTTTTAAGCCCACAATTTAGATGTTAGAGAATCATTTTTAGGCCTTTTCACTGACAGAACTAAGAACTATGCATACTTTCTGTGTATGTTTTTTTAAACAGAAAAAATACCTTATATTATCAAATTGATATTTCCAAATCAAATTCTGGACTTAAAGGCCTTAAATGTATGAATCTTGCATGTGATGGTAGTATTGTTAGTATTCTTTTGAGGCTGTTTTGTGTGTATAGTATGGTGAGTTAAATGAATTGAGGTTATCATGTTGATGCCATTGAGAATCAAGACTTTTCAGCATTGTCATTAGGAAAGGCAGAAGAAGGAATATTTACTATTATTAAAAATCCTATTATATTCAGTTTTGCTTTATGATCATATAAAATATTAACAAAAAAGTTACTTGGTTTGAAAGTCAAATCTAGAAAACAAGGCATACTCAGAGAAGTCCAGCTTCTCTCCCTCTCCATTACACTCCCTTTCTTCTTTCCCCATAGGTAACCTTTCTTAAAATTTAGAGGTTTGTTCTCCATCATTTTTTTACAACATGAGCCTGTAAAAATATATATATTTATATATTCATTTCCTACCATGCAGTTTTATTCACCTTCTTTTCTCACTTAATATTCAAGAACATTTTGAATATATAGAGATTCTCCTCATTTCTTTTTATAGTAATGTAGTGACTCTTAATAATCATGATAATAGTATTGGTAGTAGTTGTCATAGTAGCAGTAAACATTTGGAAGCACTTCCTATGTGCCATGCATGCCCTTTTATAAGTAATTTAATCCTCTCAATATCCATTTGGGTGGGCACTGTTAAAATTCCTTTACAGGTGGAAAAGTAAGATACAAATAGAGTAGGTTACTTGCCTGAGGCCACAGATCAAGTGAGCTAGGGTTTGCTCCTGAGCTAGAGAGCTCATGTCCCTAACCACATGGGCCATACTGCTTCTTAGCACCTAAGAAGGTTCGGATTCAGCAGATCTTTGGTGGAGCTTGGGTCCTCTGAAGTACATTTTGTACAAGCCTTTCCTATGTTTTCATGTTCATCTCTGGTTAAGAACTAGTATTCAGCTAGCCAAAGAAAGGAAGTCACAGGAAAGGAAACCCAGAGCTGTACAAACCATTTAAATTAAGTATGATTGTGCCAAAATGTTAACACTATTTAATCTAAGTGGTAATATGAGTAATTATTATACTCTTCTTTCAACTTTTTTCTATACTTGAAAATTTTTATATAAAATTTTTGAGAAAAGTAAGCTACAAAAGAAGAAAAGTAAACTCCAAAAAATGATTAAAAATTCAGTGTATGTGCAAAAATACTTACCATATCTTATTGACTTCAAGATGCCATTGATTGGAAGATATACCACTAAGAAACAAAAATTGCCATCAGTTAATCTATGACATGTTATTGATTGTAAGGTATATCTGGGTACAGAGACAGTAAGATTTGAAATGACATGCTTCTTGCAATTGAAGAAGTGTGAAATTAAAGTCGAGGCTTTGCTGTTTTGTTTTGTTTTTTTTGAGTTGGGGGTCTCACTTTGTCACCTAGGCTGGAGTGCAGTGGCACGACCACAGCTCACCATAGCCTCAAACTCCTGGGCTCAGGTAATCCTTCCACTTCTGCCTCCCGAGTAGCTGGGACTACAGGCATGTGCTACCATACCCAGCTAATTTTAAATTTGTTTTGTGGAGTCGAGGTCTCACTATGTTGCCCAGGCTGATCTCGAATTTCTGGCCTCAAGTGATCCTCTTGCCTTGGTGTCCCAAAGTGTTGGGGTTATAGGCATGAGCCACCACACCTGGCTACAATTGTAACTGTTAAAATTAGTGGTATAGGTGACTGACTATAAGTTAATAGACATTTAAGTTATATAGGAAAATCAGAGTAAGCTTTTTGAACAGACTGACCTGCTTCTTGAAAGTTATCTAGATTTAGAATATAGCAAAATATGGCGGACAGGGCAGTGTAGGTGACGGAACACGAGGAAGGCTTTGGAGTTAATTACAGGCATAGTTTTTACTGAGTATAGACAGGAGCAGAGAAGGTGGTAAATGCAAGCTTGGATGGACACACAAGTGAAACAAGATGAGGCAAAGATTATTAGGGTTTTTCTTTGTTTTCATTAGGCTAATTATTCTATGTATTTTTCTCATTCACTGAGAATGTGGCTTCATTGTTATTATTGTAACACTTGAGTCCAGGAATCACACTATTGCATTTCTACCTAGGTAGAAATAGTATATGGGGGGGGACCCCCCAAAAAACAGAATTTATTTATTTAAAAATTGTGTATTTATTCTTACATGTTTAAACTTCAGTCACTTTCAAAGCACTCTCCATTTGAAGCAATGCATCCATCAAGACGATTTTTCCACTGCTAAAAATCAATTTTTGAACTCGTCAATTTTGATGCCCTTTAGTACTTTTGGTGTTTTTTTTTTTGTTTGTTTCACTTTTTCCACATCAGCAAAATATTTCCCTTTGAGGATTTTTTTTCAAATGGGGAAACAAAAAAAGTCACTCAGGGTGAGATTGGGTGAATAGGGAGGGTGGGCTATGGGGTCATGCTGTTTTTGGTCAAAAACTGCTGAACACTCAGCATGGTGTGGGTAGGTGTGCTCATAAATCACCCATCATGAAATGGGCAAACATATTGAAAGAATCTTCAAAGAAAAAATTCACTGAAGTCGAGTGAGTGCAGCTTATCACAACAATGCTAGCTGGTATGTTGATGCTGATGGGTTCCTAGAACATGTGTCTAGTGGGGGAATCCTGTACTACAAAAGGCCCATCCTCCAAAAGATAATTCTAATTTTTTGGGTTCCTCCTTGTAAATCAGGGAGTTAAGAGTTCATATGATAACTGAAGATTAAAGGTTATAATGCCCCAGAGTTGATGGAAATCAGAGATAATGTAAAAGTAGAGGCAAGAAAGACTGAGGTGCTAGGGTAAAATTGTTCTTGGTAACAAAAAGACCAGCAGGTGAAGGTTTAGTGAAAGACTCTTTCCAGGAACTCTGATGAAACAAGATGATAGTATCAGTTTTTATGTGGCAGGCCATTTCAAAAGTGTCAAAGTCTAAAGACGGTTTATTGTACTTCTTTCTAGAAGAAGTCTTCCAAGGTGAGGAGCAGTTTGAGAGGCAGCATCAGGAGGACCAAAATAAATGTCTGTTGTTGCAAGTTGGATTTTTTGACAAGAAAACAATTACCACAAAAAGTGTCCATGACTGTAATGAGTTTGGAAACATGCTTCATCTGAATACAAACTTTGTTGCTTCAATACAAAAGCCTCTTAAACATGAATCGTTTGGAAATAATATGGTAGACAATTTAGATTTATTTAGTAGAAGTGCTGCAGAAAAGAAATTTGACAACGGATGTGCTAAATTATTCTTCCATGCTGAGTATGAGAAAACAAATCCAGGACTGAAACCCTATGTATATAAAGAGTGTGGGAAAGCCCTCAGGAGAAAGAAAGGCCTTAGTCTACATCAAAGGATTAAAAATGGAGAGAAACCCTTTGAATGTACTGCATGTAGGAAAACCTTTAGCAAGAAGTCGCACCTCATTGTACATTGGAGAACTCATACAGGAGAGAAACCTTTTGGATGTACTGAATGTGGAAAAGCCTTTAGCCAAAAATCTCAGCTCATTATACACCTAAGAACTCATACAGGAGAGAGACCCTTTGAATGTCCTGAATGTGGAAAAGCCTTCAGAGAAAAATCAACTGTCATCATACATTACAGGACTCACACAGGTGAGAAACCTTATGAATGTAATGAATGTGGAAAAGCCTTCACTCAGAAGTCAAACCTCATTGTCCATCAGAAAACTCATACAGGAGAGAAAACATATGAATGCACTAAATGTGGGGAATCATTCATACAGAAGCTTGATCTAATTATACATCATAGTACTCATACAGGAAAGAAACCCCATGAATGTAATGAGTGTAAGAAAACTTTCAGTGATAAGTCAACTCTTATTATCCATCAGAGGACTCATACGGGAGAGAAACCTCATAAATGTACTGAATGTGGGAAGTCCTTTAATGAGAAGTCAACCCTCATTGTGCATCAAAGAACTCATACAGGAGAGAAACCCTATGAATGTGATGTATGTGGAAAAACCTTTACCCAAAAGTCAAACCTTGGTGTACATCAAAGAACTCACTCAGGAGAGAAACCCTTTGAATGTAATGAATGCGAGAAAGCCTTCTCTCAGAAATCCTATCTCATGCTACATCAGAGAGGCCATACAGGAGAGAAACCTTATGAGTGCAATGAATGTGAAAAAGCATTTTCGCAGAAATCGTATCTCATTATACATCAAAGAACTCATACAGAAGAAAAACCCTATAAATGTAATGAATGTGGCAAAGCCTTCAGAGAAAAGTCAAAGCTCATTATACATCAGAGAATTCACACAGGAGAGAAACCCTATGAATGTCCTGTGTGTTGGAAAGCTTTTAGCCAGAAGTCACAGCTCATAATACATCAGAGAACGCACACAGGAGAGAAACCCTATGCATGCACTGAGTGTGGCAAGGCCTTCAGAGAAAAATCAACATTCACTGTACATCAAAGAACTCATACTGGAGAGAAACCCTATAAGTGTACAGAATGTGGGAAAGCCTTTACACAAAAATCAAACCTTATTGTACATCAGAGAACCCATACAGGAAAGAAAGCCCATGGAAGAGGCCACACCCGAAAGTCAAAACTCACTGCACATTAGGCAGTTCATCAGCAGTGTCTGTAACATACACTGAAGGAAAGTTGTGTCAGTTTCATTAACGTTGTAAAAGTATGTTCTGACTTCTGGTTTAAATATGAGAGTAAAGCCAGCCTTTCTTTTTTTCATCACAGTCTTGACCCAAAAACTACAGGAGAAAAAAAGTGTAATCTCTGTATCTGGTAATATTAGGAGACAGCTGAAACCCTGATGAGAAGCCTGCCAGAGGCAGGGGAAATCAAGCACTGGTACAGGATATTTCAGAAAGAGAGAGTACTCAAGCCTGCAGATTCGAGAGCACTGGTAAGGACTCTTAGCTGAGGTTCAGGATACACCCTAAGGTGTAGAACCTTAAGTAGATTTTTAAAAATGGTAACAGTGTGGGGGCAGGTAGGAGGTAGGATGTTTCCTAGACCATTGGGTCTAGGAGAAACAGGCAAGGGCCTTGACAAGGAACCAGACAAGCCATATTTGCAGTAGTTTATACTGATGGGAGCAACAGTTTTGGGGACACTGGGAAGAGAAGGAACTTTTCCTTGTGAAGAGCCCTACAACCGCCCCTATCTACTGACTTGGGAGATGTACAGTCTGAAAAAGCTAACAAATGCAGGGGAAAAAAATCTCAGTTGTTAAAAAAACTGTTCTACCTAGAATGTCCCAGTTTCTTCCCCCACATGAACCTCCAGCAAATAGCAAGTTTAGGAAAAACTCTTCTCATTCAAATAAGAATGATTCAGAAGTAATCGTAACCACAAACCCATGTGGTTTTTGAGCCAGCACTTCTACTTCTAGGAATGTATATACTCATAGTGTACAGAGTGATGATCATATGGAGGTACTCATTGACACACTGTTGTGAAAACAAAAGATTGGAAGCTGTCAAAATGACACCACCAGGGTTCTGGTTCTCTAAGTTGTAGTATATTCATACAGCATACTCCTAGGTAGACAAAAATGAATATATAAAGAGAACTTGGATACCATTCATGTAGTGATGTGGATAATCTCCAGGTTACATTATTAGGAAAAGCAAGGTGCAGGATAGTGAGTACAGTATGCTACCATTTGTATATAATAAGGAGAAAAATGGTAAGTACATAATTGATTGTATATGCATAAGTCATCTCTAGAAAGAGATATAAGAAGCTGGTAATCCTGATTGCCTCGGGGAAGGGGGAAGGGCAGCAGTGGCTGGGGGATGGAATTGGGAGGGAGACGTGTGTATCCTTTCACAGCTTTTGAAAATTGTACTATGTGGATGTACTACCTTTTCAAAAAATAAATGAAACATTAAAAAAAGTATATTTTATTCTATTACCATTATAATAGTCATAGTCTAGATACAGGATTTTATAACATTTAATATAGATATGTTCAATGTGGGTTTAATTTTTTTGATTGAAATAAATTGAACAACCAGGCAGACAGAACAGCAGATTTCAATCAATTCCAAAGGCACATCATTTTCCTCAGGGTGACAAAGTGATACTCAGGTCAGCTGGGACCACATTAGGTAAACCTAAAATAATTGAGACTGGAACACATTTCTTACTTAGTATGCACAGTGACACCTGTGAAAAAATCCTATACTGAAGTCTACCAGTGTCTTTCTATATCTTAACAAAATGATTTAAATTACATCATTTATACACAAACTCTTTACAAGAGGTATAAAACATGAATACACAGGTTGAATAACTTGCTCTTAAGGTTACAGTGCTGCTAGTGACACATATTTTTCAAAGTGAGAGATAGATTGAGAGTGATGGTCTGAATGGACACAGCCAAAGACCACATAAAAGGATGTTTGCTCCAGAACAAGAGTTCCTGCTTGTGAATTACCGTATCTGTGACCCTCATGCTTCTGTATTCCCCCCTCCCCCCTCTGGGGCCATCTCTTTTTTAGAACTGGGCAACTCAAGTTATGTAAAACCTGAGGATGGGCAGCATTTGGATTTATCAAAACAGGTGGGTAAGTTAGACCTGAGACCCTGTCTGTGCCCTCCCAGGTCTTCATTTTTCCCTGAATTATCCTGCAAGAATTTGATTCATTGGCTCACTATTTTTTTTTTGAACTGTGTAAATCAGACATGTCATGTTCAGTGCCCTTCCAGGGAGAGGAAATGGGGGCCTCACTGGCTTGCTGGTGCAGTCTGCTGGGAGGATGTCTGAGGCTACTGGAAACAAACATCCTGCTTACTGAGAATCTTTCTGGGGTTTTAGGTCCATTGAAGGTCATCTTGCAGTAGGGTGGGACACAAATGGCAACCTGATGGGCCACATGTGAGTGAATGGAGGTGAATGAAGCACAGATGGGGATGAACAGCAGGATGTGAATAAGTGGACTGGAATTAGGGGGAGGGAGAGGAGGATAATAAAAACCAAGTGGGGATGAACAGGGAATAGCAGTATGAAATGAGGGACATAGCTGGTGGAGTGAGTTACTGGAAAAGAAACAGTCTAGCACAGGTAAACATGGGTAGAGGTGGGGAGAGCAGGAAGGAGTTGAGTGGGAGGGAGAGAATGATGGAGGAAAGTGGGAGTCACGTGAGGCAAGGTGTGAATGATGATGGTGGATGAGGTTGAGTGAAGAGCAGTGCAGGCAAGTGACGAAGCATGGCATGGTATCAGTGAAGAGTGCTTGGCAGTCACAGTGGGAAGACTGCTGGAATGGGGTGCTAGGGGGATGCTCTGTGGTGTGGTGGGAATCTGTGGTGTGGTGGGGATCTGTGGTATCAGGTTATAGAGTCTTGGGGGATCTCAGTGATACACAACCTTGTGGTGGTGGTGATGGAGAGTTGGATGAAGGAGGCAGGAGGTGATCACTGGGGATTCTGCATAAAGAGAAGCTGCCCTGAGCACCCTGTGCTGACCACAGGTGAGGTGTAGGGGATGGGAACAGTCTGCATTCTGGACACAGCTCTGAATGAATGCCACCTCCATGTTCCATGTCCTTGTCATTATTTACATATGCTCAGGGAGAGGCCTCACCACAAGAGGTATCCCCAAAACCTCCCCCAAATCTGCTCTATTGTGCCCCTTAGCCAGCCCTGAGTCCCACCCCACTTATTTAATTTGTCTTATAGCTTTGGCTAAAACCTAGAATAGTGATCCCTCTTCAACTTGTTCCCTAGGGCTCTCCAGGGTACCCTGGGATCCCTATGATCAGATCTATGACTTGATTGACCTCATAACCATCAAGATCAGTACTGGACCCCCAATATTTCAACCAATTATTTCATATTACTGTCTTATTTCTTTAGGTATGATCTCCAAACTATGAATTATGATCCCTTCTCAACTTATCCTTTTCATCCTTTGGGGGCCTGTTAATGTGAGAAATTCCCCTGATACAATGACAGTCTCCAATATGCTACCACACAAGCTACCCCAGAGGTCTCAGAATAAAAAGGCTCAGAATTACAATGTTTGAGTAACATGGCTTATTAAATCCATTTTTTAAAAACACAAAACAGGGCAACCCCTTCGGGTCCCCTTTGACTATGGGAGCTTTTCTGTCTTCTTAATAAATCCTGCTTTCAAAAACAAAAACATTAAAAAACCAAGAAGCAAAGGAAAGACATGGGGTAAATTAACACACTTAGGATAGGGTACAAACAGGATGAAGGACTACATTTCCTGAATCTTCTGTTCTGCAATGTTCATAGACTCTGCCTCTGCTTCTGTTGCATCAGCCTCATTGGAAACAGGGAAAAGAGATGAGGTTTGAAAAGGGGCCTCAATCAGACTGAAGGTGCCCCAGGCCTTAAGGTTGACACACAAAGGTTGAAAAATGACACACAAAGGTTGAAAAACTACCCATTGGGTACCATGTACATCATTTGAAGGATGGGCTTAATAGAAGCCTAAACCTCACCATCACACAACATACCCATGTAACAAAACTTGCGCATGTACCCCTTGAAACTAAACCCTTGTGATAATTCACATAGAATGATGTCCTCCAGCTACATCTGTGTTGCTGCAAAGGGCATGATTTGTTTTGTTTGTTTGTTTTTGAGTTGGAGTCTCACTATCACCCAGGCTGGAGTGCAATGGCATGCTCACGGCCACTGCAGGCTCGACCTGCTGGGCTCAGGCGATCCTGCTGCCTCGGCCTTCCAAGTAGCTGGAACTAAAGGTATGCACTAATACTCCTGGCTTATTTTTTTGTTTTATTGTAGAGATGAGGTCTCGCCAAGTTACCCAGACTGGTCTTGAACCCCTGAGCTCAGGCACTCCTCTCACCTTGGCCTCCCAAAATGCTGGGATTACAGGCTTGAGCCACCGTGCCTGGCCTTGATTTATTTTTATTACTGTGTAGTATTTCATGGTGTATATTTACCATTTCCTTTATTCAGTCTGCCACTGATGGGCACCTGGGTTGATTCCTGTCTTTACTATTGTGGATAGTGCTGTGATAAACATATAAGGAAGACCCCCTCCAAAAAAACCCAGAACTGTCTTTTGGAGGGCTCCTTGTAATGCAGGCTTCCCCTGCTAAGTAGATGTTCTAGGAACCCATTGGCATCAGTGTCCCTGCTAGCATTCTGAGAGACGGTGTTTGGCTTCAGTGCATCTTTTTTTTTTTTTTTAGATTCTGTTAACACAGTTGCCCATTTCATGATGGGTCATTTACAAGTGTACCTGCCCACACCACACTGAGTGTTCAGCAGTTTTTGACCTAAAACAGCATGACCCCTGTGCCCCACCCTTCCCATTCACTTGATTTTGCCCTGAGTGACATTTTTGGTGTTTCTCTGGATGAAAAAATCCTTGTTGAGGGAGGAAGATGGTGGCAGAGCCAGTGGGACTATGTGAGTCCTAGTGTGAGTGAATGGAAAATTTTGTGTGCGTGTCTATAAGTGGGTGTGTGAGTGGCTGACTGAGTGGGGACTTGGAAGCAAGTGGCCAGGTCTCTCCTGGTGAAGCAGCTGGTGCCACAGCTGCTCTGGCTGGACCCTAGTGCTTCCCAGAGCACAGAAGTTGAGTGCCATTTAAAAAAAATCAGCAAAGCCCTTCTCAGGAAGCAGCTGCTGGGAGTGACTGCTGGCTCTAGGGTTTGCATCACCACTGCAGCTCCTGGCTGGATACTGGCATCAAGGGCTGCAGAGGGAGCACAGCAAGGGAGCCCAGAGGCAGAGCACCACTGGAGAAGATGAAACAGGCACTCTACTGCCATCTTGGAAACTGGGCACGAATGTGCTCCATCTTGTTCACTGCAGAGCAACAGATCTGATCTCTGTAACCAGTAGATTAACTACTCAGAGGCTGATCATGACCCAGAGGGAATATCCCAAAAGCACAAACTCTGGAGGAACAGAGTGAGTGCTGAGTCTCAGGTGCCCCACCCCCTACCCTATTTCAGCTGTAGGACAAAGGGCGTGACCAGAAAACGATGAGGAAGACCCCTGAGTCCAGAACTGACCCAACCTCCTCCTCCCCCCAATCCTCTGAACATCAGACCCACGTGACTGGGGCACCACTGAGAGGGATGAACTCAGGTGGAGCCTGGACATCAGCCACAATAGAAAGACTCTACTCCAAGATAAACCTGACTGGGTGCCTCCTCCATCACTCCACCCAACCTGCCAGTGCCTGGAGAAGAGACAATCCCTCACCTCCCCACCAGAGGAGATCTTCCTGACCATATGAGAGTGGGAGGGGAGGACTAAAGACCCACCCACCCCACCACCTCCTCCTCCTTCCCTGGTCAGACACTGGGGAGATTGTAAATGAGGCCACAGCTCTGCAGGAGATAGCAGAGGGGCTTACCTCTGAGAAGCTGAGAGCAACAATTACAGAACCTGCCACAAGAGGGCAAGTTGTTTTTTGTTTTTGTTTTTTCCTTTTTCCCTTTGTACATGAACGTGTATATGAAGGTTTAATTTGCATTCCTCCCACCTTTTCTTTCTTTTTTTGTCCTTCTTTCACTTTTTGTTTTATGTTTATGTGTGTATGAATGATTGCATATTCTTTCAGTTTTTTCCTCTTTTTTTGTTTAATGTTTGTGTGAGGGTTTGATTTGAATTCCTTTTTTGCTTTGTTTTTTTCTAATTTGTTTTGGGTTTTGTGTGTGTGTGTGTGTGTGTGTGTGTGTGTGTGTGTGTGTGTTTTGCTTTGGTTTCTGCTTTTGCTTTTCTGTGTTTTTTATTTTTCATTTTTAAAAATTTTTGTCTTATTTCATTCTACTTTTATTTATTTCCTCATTGCTGTTACTGTATCTTGGACTCAGGGAATACACACATGTACCCATTGCATCATCATATAGAGTGGTGGTGGGGAGTGGATTTCAGGGA